CAGGAGGCCGCTGGCGCCGCGCCCCGCACGACCGCCCCCCTTTCGGCGGGCTCCTCGCTTAGGCTCGCCACTCCGGCAGAGGCCTGTCCCGGGGCGGAGGAACGCCGCGGATCCAGCACTGTCGCGTCCTGAGAATCATAAATCGTGCAGGAAAGCCATTCCTAGGACTTCAACGCAACGTGACTGGTCATGTCCTGGCAGTTGCTTGAAAGCCAGAACGCCACCTCTGGGACTCCAACCAGACGAACCGTTGCAACGGTGCAAACGTTTACGAGGAATGTGCTCGGCCTTCAGGCGAGAGCCACACTCTGAAAAGGGAGCCACCTCCACCAGTGAAACGACTGCAAACTGTTAAGACTCGTGTGCGCGGCGCGAAGGCGAGAGCCACCGATTGAAAACCACCCACTCACCGTGCGTGAAACTGCTGCAGACTCTTAAAACGAACGCGCGCGGCCCTCGAACGAAAACCACATGCTGAAAACCAGCCGCCCCGCATCCTTGGAACTGTTGCAGATGCCAAGCTTCATAATCAAACTTCATAATCCCAAACGGTGAAGATGTCTCAGTCGAAACGCCTGGCCCGCCCTACCGGCACGTCTGGGGTAGGAGAGCCCAGAATCGAATCGAAAAGTCGGATCGGCGATCGAGCTGAATCGGATCGGCGGAAATCGGCAGCCGAGTCGTGAAAAGTCGGCTTGGCAGAAATCGGCAGGCGAGTATGTCTCCAAGAAGAAATCGGAACCCAAATCTCCCAAGTAGAATCGAATCGGAATCGGATGCCATCGAAATCGAATCGAATCGATTGAGTCGAAATGAGCCCTGCTGGGGTTGCGACAGGGGGGACTGCTTTATAAGGAGAAGGGGTGGAGGGGGAGGAGGCAAGACAAGACACATCTCGTGGGACATCCTTCAGCGATAGCCTACGACGTGAAACATCGCGCCGCTTACAGCCGAAAATACGGTGGGGGCATTGGATAAGGAACCCTTAGATAAGGAATCCAGGAACTGGAGGCCAGTGGAACTCCAATCGAGGCTTAGCCGTGGATATCACCGCCGCCCTCATCAGATAAGGAATCCTCCAGGGTCTGAAGCCTCCTAGGCACATTCCTTAACCAATGCCGCTGCCGTCTGATCAAGAAAACTATCATTTGAAAAAATATGGGCCAGCTTCCCGGAAGCTTCTGAAAGCAAGACCGGGCCAACTTTGGTTGTCAAGGCTGGAGGGGAGAACACGTTCAAGAAACTGGGCCAGCTTCCCACCAGGTTTGTCAAGAATCGCGGACCCAGCTTTTCGAGAAGAGGCTTCTGAATCAGACGCTCGACTGTAGGACCCTGAGGGGCGGCCAACCACCTACTTCGATTCATGCACCTATCGGTGAATTGAGCCATCCCTCAAGAAAGGTCCTGGACCCAGGCCAGAACCCTCCCAGGCACGCAATCCCATCCAGCCGGAGAAGAAGGAGGAGGAAGAGGAGGAGGAGGAAGAGGAAGAGGAGGGAAGGAGGAGGGAGCAGGAGAGAGGAGGAGCAGGAGAGAGGAGGAGGAGGAGGAGGAGGAGGAGGAAGAGGAGGAGAAGGTCACTTGCAAGCAAAGTGTGCCCGTTTGGTCGCTGGGCAGGTCTGGCTAGATCAAGGACGCGGCTCTCTCTCTCTCTTGTTCTGTCTCTCTCTCTCTCTCGCACCTTCTCTGCACTATCACTCGCGCTGCTGGCATGCAAAACCAGACGGACCGACCACACAACTGAGACACCAGGGTGCTGCCACCAGCCATCCCCCCCGCGGCCCGAGGACCACTGAAGTCCACGGATCGAGGGCCCTCGAAACATGCCCCAGGAGATGATCCATGCGCTTGCCAACCTCCGCGCCCTGTCGGCGTACGGAGGCAGAGGGCTGCAGCAAGCGGGCGGCAGTCATCTTAGGAGTCTAGATCTCTTGTCAATATGAAGTGAGAAGCTGTATTTCCTGGGGTGTCCTCATTTTGGCACGTTTGAAGCCGCCGCCCCAGGCGGCTTCTCCCCGCTGAACTAGGGCGCCAGTGCACAAATGTATGATACCCCGACTGGGCGGCTCAACAGTCTGGTGAGACTGCCAACTCACGCAGTATCATGATGCACTTTGCCAGTTGAACAGCAGCGCCATGCCACGCGGCAGGCGAGGTCGTGGACAAAACATTCCCACCGTGCCACACGTACGCACTGGTGAAATCATCGGGCCCGAGTTTCGTGAACGCCCAATCAGGGGGGTGAACAGTGGGCTGCCAGCCTTGCCCACGCCTCCGTCAACAGTTCGGTGGCGAGCGAGAGAGGAAGCGAGAAGGAGAAGGCCTTCTCAGAAGGCGGCGGGGCTTCTCAGAAAACCTCGGACCTTCATTTTGTCCTGCAACATGTGATGCCTCCGCATTCCTAGCGACAAAAGAGGGCCCTCTGAGAAGCAAAAGTGTGGAATGTAGCCCGAGAAAACCTCGGACCTCCTGAAAGGTTGTCGGTGTCTTCGGGGAAGGCTTCGAAAACTTCTCAGAAGCCCAGGGGGCTTCCGAGCCCTCTGAGAAGGCCCGATCCTTCTCACTTCCACCATAAGCTCGCCGCCGACATGAGCATTTCCAACAAAAGCGTGCTCGGGCGTGACCTCGTCCGCGCGACCGCGCCCCCATGGCTTGGAGACCGTCCAAGGCGGGACAGGGAAGGGGAAACGGCAAACAAACGCGCCCGCTGAGGGAATCAATGCCCCCATTCTCCAACCAACCCCTTCAAGTCTTTAGAACCCCCCCACCAATAGTGGAAATTAATTGTATTTCCGGCGGCCTTCTTGACGGAGTGGGGTCCCAGGAGGAGGAGCAGGAGACGGAAGAGGGGCAGGAGGAGGAGGAGGAGGAGGAGGAGGAGGAGGGGCGAGTTTGTTGCCCGCCGGAAGAAACGAGCTGGGACCCAAAACTAAGGACCTGTTCATATTACTCCTCCCGAAGCGCTGCGTTGCTGGAGCAGCTCGGGAGGCGGTGTCAGACATCGTCCCCTGCCCCCCCGCCATCCCCCCCGCATATGCAAGCAGCCTCCGCATTGCTATCGGACGGCAACTGGTCCAAATCCCACCAGCCTTCCAGGCTGAGGTGGTTGAGCAGTGTTCCTCCTGTGCCATGTTCCCCCTCTTCACCCCCTCTTCATCTTCGGGGAAGGTTTCATCAGTCTGTCGTCTAAATATGCATCCCCTCCCCCACCCAACTGGCGACAAAACCGCGACAATGCGGGCACCCTCCCGCCATCTATCCAAAGAAACAATACAAGACGCCCTTTGCACCAAAACCTGGATCGTGCGCGGGGGCCCCGCGATCACTTCGCACGGGTGCTTGAAGGGGACGGCGGGGATGCGGGTACATGACCTGCCGTGTGTCATGCCCACACCACCCACAACCCGATGCACAAATCGTGCACCACGCGCTCTGCACCAAACATCTGGATCACGTGCGGACGCCCCGCGATGCGATCACTCCGCACGGATGCTTCTTGGCACGGACGGTGGGAGGGCCGGCACGTCGACTGCTTCGCGCAATGCCAACAGCCACCCCCCCCCCACACACACACACACACACACACACACACACACACACACACACACACACACACACACACACACACACACACACACACACACACACACATTCACACACACACACACATTCACACACACAACACACACACACACACACACATTCACACACACAACACACACACACACCACACACACACAGCACACACACAAATAAGCAGAAGGAAAAAACAGCACAGAGTGCACTGTGCACCAACATCTGGATCACGCGCGGACGCCCCGCGGTCACTCTGCAGTGGTTCTTGACAGGGACGGGGGGGGGGGGCTGCTGCCTGCTGAATGCAGGCCGACCATCCTTGTCCACAAAAGGTGGCGCGTCGGGTGCGAGTGGCGCATCTGGCACGTGCGGCGCACCTCGCGGGCATCGCGCACCTGGCTGGCGCCTGTATCGGTTCCCCATGGCTGTCGATGGCGGCCCCTGCCTGTGCTGACACTCGGGTGCTGCTGATGTGGTGGCAGGGCGTGTGGGAGCGAGCGACACGGCTTGCGCTTGGGGTAACTTGATCACCGTTCCTTATTGATATTTGCCTCCTCCCCCACACGACGGACGACAGACCCGGGACAATGCTGCCCCCCCTCCCCGCCACCCCTGCTAAAAGACAGCACACATCTGGCCATCGCTCGGACGTCCACTCACCGCCCCCCCACGAATTCACGCCCAAGCGGCTGGGGCTCGATGGGCTCCACGTCGAGGGCACGGGCGTCTGGCTGCCGCAATTCTGGCTCACGCGGCGTGTCTTCCAACAGCGCTGGAAGTGTCTTTGCTGCTCGGGTCAAGCACGCCGAGCGCCCGCCAGCCCGTGGAGTCAGCTGGGGCCTCGAAATCCTAGAAGGCTGCCACGAGTTGCAACCACCACCCCGACGACGGGGCCATCCAACCTACTGGCTCCCTGGACCCACAACGTCCAAACAAATGCGATCATCAACACGGCCCATCGCCTCCTCAGCTCCAGAATATTCGAGCCGTCGGCATTAGTATCCTCGACAACCAGCCCGTGCAAGGTAAAGTCGGGCTGCGAGCGGGTGGCATCCAACACCACTGCCTGAATACAGGCTCGCACCCTGGCCAACAGGCCAACATGATGGTCAGCTCATCAGTGCCCCCCAAATATGCTGGATGAGGTACACCATCCAAATGAGCCTGCTATGACTTCCCAGAATAAGTCGGAACATGTAAAGTTCGAATCCACAACCATCTAAGACAGTCAGACAAGCTCCTCCACATGATCCTTATCTCGGCCTCCAGTTCACCATGAATTAGCGCCTGATCGGCGTGTCAGCCACAGTGATGGGACTGGTGGACAGTTCTTCCACAAAACAGTCGTATGCCTGGCCACTGACGCTGCGAGGAGGAAGGAGAAGAGGAACCCGAGCATCCCAGCTCCATCCACATTCATCGACCAGCCCCGGCACCGTGCGGGAGGTCAGCTGCGGGACTCGCAGCGCGGGCGAGATCCGCCGCCTCGGAGTCGACGGGGAACACATCTGCCCAACCCTCTCCGCTGGTTGCGGAGGAGGCGATGCAAGTGAGAGAGGAGAGGAAGAGGAGGAGGAGGAGGAGGAAGGAGAGGAAGGAGAGGAAGAGGAGGAGGAGGAGGAGGAGGAGGAGGAGGAGGGCGGAGGGAACGAGGAGAAGGAGGAGGAGGAAGGAGAGGAGGAGGGGGAGGAGGAGGAGGAGGAGGAGGAGAAGAGGAGGAGGAGGAGGAAGAAGAGGAGGAGGAGGAGGCGGAGGAGAAGGAGGAGGAGGGGGAGGAGGAGGAGGAAGGAGAGGAGGAGGAGGAGGGAGGAGGAGGAGGAGGAGGAAAAGGAGGAGGGAGGACGAGGAGGGAGGAGGAGGACGAGGAAGAGGACGAGGAGGGACGGGCCGCAGCCCGCAGCCCCCGGTGAGCCATCACCCTGGGCTTTGGTGCCCCGCCGGGGTCCTCCACTCTCGGCCTCTTGTGGGGCGGCTCCTCGGCGGGCGCGGAGGGCGCCTCGATGCCCCAAGCCTGCTGGACCTGCGGGGCGGGCGGGGGGGGGGGGCATCGAGCGCGCGGGAAGCTCGAACAGCAAGCGGGGAGAAACCAGCGCATCAAAAAGTCTGCTCGTGCGTTTCAGAGAGGGAGAGGGAGAGAGAGAGAGAGAGAGAGAGCGCTTCGCGTCCCCAGTGTCTCAGAGGAGCGTTCGACACACACACACACACACACACACAATCGTGCTTGCGGAGGACTGGGGAGGACGGGGGGGAGGAGAGGAGGAGGGGAGGGGGAAGAAGAGACGGGGGGAGGAGGGGAAGGAGGAGCGAACGTCGCCGCGGAGGGGAAGGAGGAGGAGGAAGAGGAGGAGGAAAAACTGGAGGAGAGGTAGTTGCTGCTGCTGCTGCTGCTGCTGCGCCCAGTTCTCTGCCGGACCAAGACCAGGGAGCAGAAGCAGCAGCAGCAGCCAATCGAAAGCAGAAGCAGGGAGTAGTGGGCAGAGGAGGCACGGAGGTGGAGAAGAGGGGGGAAGGGGCAGAGAGAGGAGGGAGGAGATGGGTAGGGAGGAAGGAGAGGGGAGGAGGGAGAGGGAATGATGTTTGTTTCCTCGAGCCCCCCCTCCAAGGCAGAACGTGACCCAAACCGCCTGAACCCGATCAACGGGTGGTAACCGGTGCGTCCTCCCACGCTCGCACGCGGACGGCCAACGCCTGCGTGCCTGGCGCAGGCACAAGGCGCGAAGCGTGAGGCGCGGCTTGCTGACCTCTGCGGCCGCTGCCGCAAGGACGGCATCCGCCGAGCGGCGGCACTGGCTCCGGCACGCGCGCATCACTGTGGCAGCGCAGGCGGAGCCATTGCTAAATCCTGATCATCCTCCTCCTGCTCCTCTCCCTCCTCCTCCTCCTCCTCCTCCTCCTCCTCCTCCTGCTCCTCCTCTCCCTCCCTCCTCCTCCTCCTCCTCCTCCTCCTCCTCCTGCTCCTCCTCCCTCTCCTCCTCCTCCTCCTCCTCCCCTCCTCCTCCTCTGCTCCTCCTCCTCCTCCTCTCCCCCTCCTCCCTCCTCCTCCTCCTCCTCCTCCTCCTCCTCCTCCTCCTCCTCCTCCTCCTCCTCCTCCTCCTCCTCACGGTCTGAGCTCTGCTCTTGCACCATGTTTGAGAGCACCACCCGGAAAACAAAGCACACCTCTTGCTGGAATAGGCCACGCACCTGTAACAAAAGAGTAGGGGGCCTTAGCTCGGAGAGTCTATCACCGTGCCAGCAAGGAGGTGCCCTAAAGACTCGACATCCTTAGGACGGCAGCGGGCTGCGGGGACACCGCGACACCCCACCATCGACCGAGACTGGTTGAATATGGTAATATACATCGAGCGCACCTCCACGCCACCCCATGCTCGATCTCGCGCCAGTCGTGCCAACTTTGGCCTCCGACGGCCAGGGCCCGAAGGCCACTAGGAACGCGGACGAATTCCAACCTGGCGTAGCAGGGGAGCACAAGATCAAGCATCTCAACTAGCTGGGCCGCGCGCTTGACCGACACATCGAGGGCCTCAAGAACATCTGGAGGGGCCCCATGGGTGCAAAGACAAGATGTGTTTAGCCAACCTGTCAGCTCCTGAAATCCCTATGAATTGCGACGCTCCAGGATCGGAAGGGCCGAATTCACCTCCTCAGACCCATGGGCGGGAACATCAGACGCTGGTCTCGCAATGCCCGCCGCCGCCCCCCCCCCCCCAAAAAAAAAGTGCGCAAGCCCACGGAGGCCCGCAAAAGTATGTATGCGACGGGTTGAGCTGCTCACGCCGCTTAACACCAGGTAGCTTCACAGCTCCAGCGCAGTCTCTGCGAGGCGAGACCGACACATCATCAGCAAGGCTGCAGAGGGTGGCGATACCAAGGTGTTATGCAGCTCGCGGGGCGTGGAACAGGACGGGCCACGCAGTTCCCAACATGCGGGCCCCGATCGCATACTCAGGCCCAGGCGCTAGGTACGTTGCCCCATGCGCGGCGCCCTGCACCACTGAGAAGACCAGCTGAGTAGCCGACCCGTCTACCACTGGTTCACAACCACAGGTGAGCTCCAGAAATCTCTCGACCTCGCTCTCCTGCCCCACTGCGCCCTGGAGGATGGGGCCGAGGTGCCACGAGGAAGGGCATCAGCCTGGGGCAAGACGAAGTTGGACCAGAAATGACGCTCGTGCGGGGTGGCGGCCTTGGCTGCATCAAGCATGTCCTGACTGGCGTGCTCAAGCCATCTCTCCCCTACCTGCGCATGCATGCACAGCCATTGCCCGTGGAAAGGGGACCAGGTTGACCGCGCAGCGGACGCGCGCCGTCGCGCACGCGCCCACACTCACGCACCCTGTCCCCTGTCCAGGAGGCAATCGAGAAAACAGCTGACTGCAAATGATTGTGCCTGGCCGTGAAATGCTTAAAACGAGAACACTTGGCAACTGGATCTGAGCAGACTCTGGGCTGATTGCCAATAATTGTGGCTGGCCGTGAAATACTTAAAACAAAAACACTTGGCAACTGGATATGAGCAGACTCTGAGCAGACACTAGCATCGGCGCCTTGCGCATTAAGGCCCGCTGCGCTTCGGCCTCCAGCTGCTTTGCTGCGAGGGCTGGGGAGGAGCACCTGAGATCGACAACCACGTCACGGCCATCTCGCCACTGCGCAAAGCTACCAGCACCCCGCCCGGTCCGATGGATGGAGAGGAGCGTCTGATGTACAAGGCCCTTGGACTTGCGCCACTGGGTTAGCCCCATCTCAGGTGTGACCCTAATGGTGGATCTCCAGATCCGCATGAGATCCCTGCCCTGAAGGAGAAGTGGCTGACTTCGGACTCCATGAGGCCCTGCCTGACGCCGCGATTAGCCCCCGTGGAGACAGCAGTTGGCCGTGAGACGCGAAACCCGATGAGCAGGCGACTTCCCCGAGATCAGAGCCGACGGAAGCGACGCCAACTCCTGACCCGAAACTCCAGGAAGGACGCTTCCGAAACCTGCGGCCAGTCGCGCGCCCGAAACGCGCATCTCGTTCCTATGGGCCCTGTCCCCCCGGCAGTTTCTCCTTCCAGTGCTGCGGCAGTCGACGACGAACGCGCAACTAATGAACGCGCTGGCGCCGACGAGCTCCATGTTTGCCTTCCAGCGAAGGTTCGTGACAGTAAGTGCCTCGTCCTCCTTAGCTGCGTCGTTTATCGATTTCCCCCACGTGTCCTTCGAGGCCTCCGTGCGAATCAGGGCCCTATCGCTGGTGAGGAAGATGAGCTGCGAGCACAGCGTGCTGACCCTGGCCACGGCCAGCGGGGACACGCACTCGAGGACAAGCGCGTCCGGGTCGGTGTACAAGGACTTGAGGCCGATGTAGCTGTCGACATCTAGGACGCTCCGCTGAATGTCTTGGATGGGCATCTCCATGGCCATGTCCGAGAGGCGCTCCTTGAAGACGAGCTCCAACCTAGCCCGGCGCCTGGCGTCCGAGCTGCCCGGGCTGCGCGTCAGATGCCTCACCGAAACGCCGTCGTAGCGCGGGTCGGCGAGCTTGCGCATGATCTCGGGGACGTGGTCCGCGTGCGCGTCGACGACGAAGGCGTTGTAGTCCTCCAGCTGCAGGAGGGGGGTGAGCGGGGCAGCCACGCTGGGGGCAGCGCGAGGCCCGTTTCGCGACATGTGGAAGCATGCAAGCCCTTGGCGGACATGCCGCGGCCTACGAGGACCAGGAACCACGTATTCCAGTGGCTGCACGACGATCATGACCTTCCTAACCGTGGTGGCGAACATCTCCCCCAGCAGGGGGTGGGTCCAGAGGTCGAGGAGTTTGGCAGCGTTGTCGACCCCATAGAACTGCGGAACGGGCGCCAGGAGGTAGAGGGCCTCGCGGGAGCGGTCGGGCTCGGACCGAAGAAGCTGCGCATGGATCCTGAAGAGAGCATCTTTGCTCTCAGGTGCCAAAGCGAGGACCTTCTGGCCCGCAAGCATCGGCAGGAACTTCTCGTCGCGCTGTTCTAGCAGCGCGCTGCAGTGCCGGTGGGACTGGATGGTCTGCGAGTGGTCGGTGGCAGCGTCCAAGACTTGCGACCGTTGCGTGACGAACCGCATGTAACCAGGGGCGAGGTGGGACGAGACGGCCGCCAGCGCGTTCTTGCCCAACTCCTTCCATCGGGCGAGCTTGGCAGGACGTGTGCGGCAACGGTCACGCGTGGCTTCTGCTGACAGCTCCTCGCACTTCGCGCCAGCGGCGACGAAGGGTGCCTCGACGGCCTGGGCCTGGCGAAGGTCGCCCTCGTCCCAAGCCATATGCCGCGCGAGAGAGCAGAGCGTGCGAGCCGCCCGCGCGCGAGCGCGCAGATGTCCACCTCCTCGGGTTCGGGGCCATCGAGGGGGCCGAAGCCGAGCACCGTCCCGGGGTCTGAAGGATTCCGGCCGGTAAGCGAATCGATGGAGGATGCGCTCGAGGCGCGCCCAGTTGCTGGGGAACTCGATGGTGGTGCGCCGAACGTCATCGGGTTGGGTGAAGCCGCTAGCACGCACGAGGGCGAAGTACCGAAGGGCCTCTTGCTCGAAGAAGTCCTGCAGTTCGGAGTCGGAGATGGTTGCACGAGGCGGGGGTTGAACATCAGCGTCCATGGCTGCTGCGGGGGCGTGCTGCGTGTCTTGCCCCGCGGCGTTGGGCGTCCCAGGCGGGACCTCGATATTGAGAGCCGTCGCCTGCTGCGTCAAGGTGGTCTCACCCTCAATGTCCGTGGAACCCGGCAGGCTGGCGCCAGAAAAACTCGACGGAGACTGCTGAGCCGTGGGTGGCTGCACTGCAGCATGCAGCTGCCGTTCCTGATGGCAGGATGGGCATCGGCCCGCGCCAGGTGCCGCGGCACCGAAGAGTGGGCAAGCACTGTGCTGGCACGAATACAACACTGTGAGCAGGGCTTCCGGTCCACCACCGCGGAGGCGGAGCATCAAGTGCATCGTCGCGAACTTCTGGACGTTGTAGTCCGTAAGCGTGCGGCTGCCCTCCAGCTGCGTACTGCTGTGAAAAAGGCGTTGTTGGACAGGTGGGATATCCTCACAATCCTGTATGCACGCCTTCACGTCCTCGATCGTGTAGCTGGCCGCCACGTTGAGCACGCTGGTCTTCCCCGTCAGCGTCTTCACAAAGATCTGCATTCCCCCAGGGAGTTCCCTGGGAGGCGTCGTACACCGTGTGGTGACGTCGCCGTCGGAGCTGGCCTCCGTGCTGCGTCTCGGACCGGCATCCGTGCCATGGTGGGTGCCGAGGTGGATGTTCGCGTCCAGGCTGTCGTGGCTGCCTGCGCCGGTGCGAGCGAAAGCCGTGATGCTCGCGGAGGTGCACGTGGCTGGTGTCACGGTCTCCGCGGGAGCGCGCGTCCCGTGCCCTGCAGTGTCCTGGGTGCTGGCTTGGGTGCTGCCGGCGTCGGTGCTGCTGACGCGGCAGCCGTGGCAGGGCAGCTGGCTGAGAGCTGAGAGGTGCTGGGGCCCCGGGGAAGGCATGGCAGAGACGGTCCACGCATGGGACCGCGCCGCGGGCGCCTGGACCGGCATGGCAGCCAGGACTGAAGCCCTGGGGGCCGCAGCGGCTGCCACCGGCAGCACGGCAGCGTCTGCGGACGCGTTGGGCGCCGCCGGGGGCAGGGTGTCGCCAGGGGGGACCGAGAGGGAAAAACGGGTCATCGTCAGTGCGCTGGTCGTGGGCGTCGTGGGCGTCGTGGGCGTCGTGGGCGTCGTGGGCGTCGTGGGCGTGGTTGTCGTTGGCGTCGTGGTCGTAGGTGCCGTGGTTGCTGCAAGTTTTCAAAGCAAGCGCGCGCGTCGCTGAGGCGAGATCCCCATTTGAAAACCACAGGCCTTTCCTCCTGATAGGTGCTGCAAGATTTAGAACGAATGTGCGCGGCGCTCGGGCGAGAGCTCCATCAATAAAAAGCACTGGCCCGATATCATTATTGAATCTTGCAAGTTGTGAAAACGAATGTGCGCGGCGCTGAGGCGGGAGTCTCATTTCAGACGGCCTGTCCTCCATTATCGCAACGGTTACGAGCTCTTACAACGAATGTGCACGGCGCTGAGGCCAGAGACACACTTTGAAAACCACTGGCGCTCCATAAACGAATGTGCGCGGCGCCATGCCGAGTCTTATTTTGACAAGGGCAGCCATCCATCCTCGAAACGGCTGCGAGCTCTTGAGACGAACGTGCTTGGCGCTGAGTCGGGAGCTCCGGTTTGAAAACGACCGGCCCTGCCTCCGTGTGACTGCTGGAAACTGTTCTTCGGCTTCAGGCTTGCAGAACGGGCGCAAGTCTCAGGGACACGCCTGGCCCAGCCTGCGGACACGCCTGATGGTTTCGATAGGTGGGATCGGTTGTGGGGGAACGGCGTGAAGAAGCCGGAATAACAGGGGGGCTCCCAGACCGCACCGTATCGGCGCTCGGGCAAGCCGGGCTCATGCCTCGCACATCATCCTGGCTCGCAAGGAATCGCCGATGCATCGGCGCAGGTGCGATGTGGAGACCCCCTCTGCTGCAGGTCCTACCCCACCTCCTCCTCCTCCTCCTCCTCCTCCTCCTCCTCCTCCTCCTCCTCCTCCTCCTCCTCTTCCTCCTCCTCCTCCTTCTCCTCCCCCATCCTGCTCCTCCTGCTCCTCCTGCTCCTCCTGCTCCTCCTGCTCCTCCTGCCTCCTCCTCCTCCTGCTCCTCCTCCTGCTCCTCTCCTCCTCCTCCTCTCCTCCCTCCTCCCTCCTCCTCCTCCTCCTCTCTCTCCCTCCTCCCTCCTCCTCCTCCTCCTCCTCCTCCTCCTCCTCCTCCTCCTCCTCCTCCTCCCCCTCCTCCCCGCTACCCCATACCCCGCCCTCCCCACCCTCCTGCTTCAAGAGAGGCCCCGGGCCTCGGGGGCCGCGCGCCTGCCTGCCTGGAGGGCCTCCAGAATGGACGCCACCTCGGCGGCGGACTTCGGGCCCGCCTGCAGCCGCTTCGGCACGCTTGCCTCGAGGATGAGGTCGTCCAGTGGGCTCGCAGGCACCTCTGGCACGCCCGAAATTGGGACCGCCGCAACGGGGAGTGCAGTCGACAGCAGCCGCAGTCTCAGGTCGGGCATGTCCTCTTACAGGCGGACGTTGGAGGAAACACAGGACATACTCAAAACATATTCAAACACAGTCAAAGAATAGTCGATCCCCAGACCATGGTTTACCATTCTCGAACACTCCTCCTGTAGAGGGACATGCACGACTTAACTGTAGTCCAAAGTAGACAGCGGCTGCTGTCGGGCAGACGCTCACCTCGAAACCAACAACGAACCCTGTCCAAAATGGACGGATAGTGCTGTCAACCATGATCCCCATTCGTGCTGCTCCCATGTCATGCATCCCGGCACCTGCGCGTTGAACTGTCCCTTGAAGGCGCCAGACACTACGTTCATGTCTGCCTCCCCGGAGGCGACGAACGTGCCGTAGAGTCGCTCGGTGCTGTAGTTGTAGAGGAAGAGAAGCGTGTCTGGCGTGATGTGCTCCTTCATCTTCTTCAGCTGCCAGGCGGCGGCCCCGAAGAGCTGGTGCCTCTGGCACTCTCCGAAGTTCTCGGCGTTGCACACGAAGACGAAACCCTCGGGGCTCTCGGCCCCCTCCGCCCCGGAGCCGACCGCTGGCGGCGCTGCCGCCTCCACCAAAGCGCTGGTGGCGGAGACGGGGACTGGGCCGCCTCCCCCCGGCGACCCTCCACCGCCCTCGACGCTGCCGACGTCCTCGTCGTCGTCGTCGAGGACGACCACGTCGGGCGCCCCCGCCGGGGCGTCTTCCGCGGCCGCCCCGCCCTCCTCGGCGCACTCGGCCGCGGGCTCCTCCTCGCCAGGGGCGCCCTCGCCGGCGGCCCCCTCCGCCGCGCCCTCCGCCGCCTCCTCCGCCGCCTCGTCCGCCAGCGCCTCCTGCGCTGCCTCCTCAGAGATCCGAGGCCGTGATTTTTGTCCAATGCGGGGTCCCCAGAAGTCTCGACCCAGTCCCCGGGACCGGTTTTTCATCCTGAGTCGTTTGTTGACGGTCCTGTGGGGGCCGGTGAAGGCCGCTATGGGGCCGAAAGCTGCAAGCGAACAAAAAAAAACACCCGTTTTGATTTCTTCCATACGTTGGATCTCTGGGTCCTCGGCCTCATCTGCTGCCTCCTCCGTGGCGTCCTCCGCTACTTCTGGCTCCAGCTCCTCTGCCGCCTCCTCCTCCGCCACCTCCTCTGCCGCCGCATCTTCGGCCTGGTGGGCGCAGTCTTCTTCGTCGACGTCCATGTACGAGAGGACTATCTGCTCATCGCCGTCGCACATGTCGTCCACGATAAGGACGTCCTCGCCCTCGTGGAGGGAGGTGGGTTAGCAGGGAGCAGGCAGGCAGGACAGGGAACGAGGGGGAGAAGGGAGGGATAGAGAGAGAGAGGAAGGGATGGAGAGAGAGAGAGAGGAACAGATGGATAAAGAGAGAGAGAGAAAGGAGACAACGGAGGGACGAGGAAACAGAGGAGGAGGGAGGGAGCGAGGAGCGAGGGAGCAGGGAGGAAGGCAGGGAAGAGGAAGGAGGAGGAAGGGCGTGGGGAGAGGAAAGAGGCCAGGCAGGAGGCAGGGAGGGGAGAGAGAGAGAGAGAGAGAGAAAGAGAGAGAGAGAGAGCGAGGTCAGGAAGGCGGCAGGCAGGCGATGGCGGAGGAGAGAGGCGCACCACACGCCCGCCCGTCTCCAGGCCCCGCCCGCACGCTGTCCGGCCACCCCCTGGGCTTAGCTTCGGCATGTCCTCCTACAGGCGGGTTTTGGTAGACAAATGACACAGTCAAACGGTCGTCAAACATAATCTCAACATATTATGTCCTTACTAGTCTTGAACCTTCCTCCTGTAAAGGGACATGCCCGACGTAACCCCAGGCCCCAGCGGTCGCCCGCTCCCCCCCCCCCAAAAAAAAGGCAGAACGACCCGGCGCGACCCCGAGTTGGCCAGCTGCTGCTCAGGGCGCACGTGCACAGCGGAGCGAGATGCACAACCACGTGGCGCCATGCAGCACAGCGCAAAACATTCTTCCCGCGAAGCAGCACAGCGCCTCAGCCGGCACATCGAAAGGACACGCATTGCCACCACACATTGCCCCCCCTCACGACAGCGCCAAATACGCACGGTGCCCGCCGCCCCTCCCGAATCGTGCCGTCGAGGATGCACTACGCAAAACATAGCACCGCGATGCACATAGCCGCACCGCACTGCACTGCACAGCATGACGCCGCAAGCCTTTTCCGTTACGCATCGCACAGCATAGAGTAGCATGGCGTGGCGTGTCATGGCATAGAGCAGCTTTGCACAAGATAGCATGGCATAGCGTTGCGTTGGATGGCACTGCGCAGCTTGCCAAAGCTGAGCATATGATAGCATGGCGCTGCGCAGCAGGGCATGGCATGCCATGGCGTGACACTGGCACGGCGTAGCACTGCGTAGCACTGCGTAGCACTGCGTAGCACTGCGTAGCACTGCGTAGCACGGAGTATCGCGGCGTATCGCGGCGTAGCGCAGCGCAGCGCGGCGCAGCGCGGCGTAGCACGGCACGACATACACATCAGAGCATAACATCATACCTGCGGCAGCAGCCTGCGCCCAGGTCAGGAGCAGCTGGCCAGAGAAGGGCTCCGTGGCAGTGCCTGTCCTCACAGAACGAGCGAGAACCTCTCGGGCAAGCTGGGCCCCCGAGGAAGAATCACGCCACGAGGAAGAGGGGTCCTGAGGGAGACGCGCCATGGACTCCCTTTTCCTTTCTCGGGGCCAGATGCTTTTCCCGGGTCGTTGCTGGCGATCCTGGGGCCAGGGGCCCCGAGGCTGGGGAAGAGCCCCAGGAGACCGAAGGGACGGTCGAAACCCTCAGGACCCCCTGCCCTCATGATGAGTTTTTGTTTTCCCTTCCGCCGCAACCACTCCCCTGGGGCAGGTCGACTGGATGAGCCAGCCGCCGAACAACAGGAGAACAGGAATACGGCGTGGCCAGAGGCCGTCGTTCCGGAAGAGTCCAGAACAGACGCAATTCGGCCCAAGGAGGAGGAGGAGCAAGGGGGCGGAGGAGGAGGAGGAGGGCGAGGAGGAGGAGGAGGAGGAGGAGGAGGAGGAGGAGGAAAAGGAGGAGGAGGAGAAGGGAGGAGGAAGAGGAGGGGAGGAGGAGGAGGAAGGGAGGAGGAGGAGAGAGGAGGAGGAGGCGGAGGAGAGGAGGAGGAGGAGGAGGAGGAGGAGGGAGGCGGAGGAGGAGGAGGAGGAGAGGAGGAGGCGGGAGGAGGAGGAGGAGGAGGAGGAGGAGGAGGAGGAGGAGGAAAAGGAAGAGGAGGAGGAGGAGGAGGAGGAGGAGGAGGAGGACGAGGAGGAGGAGGGGTCGGGAAGCCCCAACGGCCGTGCCTCGACCTGAAACGGGGCGTCCAGATGCCCCTGCCCGCCCCCCGCGCCGACGGGCCTCCGGGACGGGGGGCGCATCGCTCCCCGTTCGCGGCGTGTGCGCGCAGCCACCCGCCAAAGACAGGCCCAGCACGAGTGGGGAGCTCGACGAGGATCGAGGCTCGAGGTCAGAGGAGCGGAGGCACGCTCGGCTCATTCGGGGGCCCCGGCTTCCGGGCCGCCTCTTCGCACATCGGGGCCCGCGATGCGCGGTGAGCGTCGCACCTTCGCGCTCCCGCGCGGCACCCGGGAGGAGGACAGCTCTCCGGTCCAGACCGCGAAGAGCGGAAGGCGATTATCTTCGTACCCCCGCGGGTGGCCTAGCTGGTCCTGCATCTGCAAGCTCGTTTCCAGTATCTCTCATCTCTCCATGCTCGCCTCAAACATCGGCTCGCATCACCTTGTCGGCCGCCCTCCTGGGAAGCGAAGCGCGCCACTCTCGAACGAAGCCCCGGACCTTTTGTGCAGAGGCCCTCGAAGAATAATGCGGGCCCCTGTAGCCGAGGGCCGTTTCCTCGGGGGTGAAGGTGCGCCGTGCTGGAACAAGCCAGCAAGCCACCGAGCCTTCGGCGCAGAGATCGTACCGAAAAGTCGCGGGCCCCTTCCCCAGACATCTGGCGGTTCGATCCTGGTCAGGACATGGATCCCCCCATGGAGCTCTCGACTCCGGAGGAGGACGAGGAGGAACATGAGGAGGAGGAGGAGGAGGAGGAGGAGGAGGAGGAGGAGGAGGATCTGGGTGACCCAAAATGAGGTCCAGCTGCAAGGGGGTGGTGCAATAGGTTTGGGGCATTTGTATTGCAAATGCATTGCGCTGGAGAATTGCATTGCATTGTATTGCAAGTAATGTATTGCACGCGAAAATCCAGCAATACATTTGCGCCCCGGAATGCACTGCACGTCCCAAATGTATTCCAACCCCACAAATCTATTGCATCAAATCTATTGACCACCCCCTTGTCGCTGGACCCCCTTCTGGGTCGACCCGAGAGGAGGAGGGAGGAGGAGGAGGAGGAGGAGGAGGAGGAGGAGGCGGAGGAGGAGGAGGAGGAGGCCGTCGGACGGGCGAATCATCCTCAGCTGGTTTCTTGACGGCCACGCGGCCCGAAACCAGATGGCTGGAGATTGAGAAGAGGCTGCCGCCCCGACGTCTTCGGGTCGTCAAATGCCTGGCTTTAGGTCGGGCATGTCTTCCTACAGGTAGATTGCTTGGAAGAAAAGAAACCTGCAAAATTGATATTCAGAAAGAAACAAAAAAAACACGGACAATCGTCACCTGACTATTTCCTCACTGCTCTGGAATATTCTCCCCGTAGAGAGACATGCGCGACTTATGCCTGGCTGCCCCCAAGGGAGGCCTCGCCCTCGCCAGCTGCCGCTGTATCGTCCATGTGGGCGAGGGGAGGGGCGCCCGGCGCTGGCCAGGCTGCGCCGGACGCCACCGGCCGCCTCACATCCTCCGGCCTGCGCGCGGCCCCGTCCTGTCGAGCAGCGAGTGGCGCCGGAGTGGCGCTCCTCCTCCTGCTCCTCCTCCTCCTCCTCCTCCTCCTCCTCCGCCTCTTCCCGCCTCCTCCTCCCTCCCCTCCTCCTTTTCCTCCCTCCCTCTCTCCTCCTCCTCCTCCTCCTCCGTCTACTCCCTCTTCCCTCCTCCTCCGCCTCCTCCGCCTCCTCCGCCTCCTCCGCCTCCTCCTCCTCCTCCTCCTCCTCCTCCTCGTCCTCCTCACTCGGCCCGAAACCTTTTAAACCAGAGCCTTCCGCCGACCCTCGCTCTGCTTCCGCCTGCTCCCGCGGGCCACCCGCCAGCTTCAGCCTCTCGATGCCTCCGAAGGCGAGGCCCGCCGTGGAGCAGCACTGCGGGGACAGCAAGCGACCACAACCACATCGAGGACACAACCTGGGGGGTGCATTTGCGCATGCCAAGCAATTTCGGAACACCGAAATTGGAGGCGTGGGAATAGGCACCAATACCAATACAGAAGAGTGCCTCCACCGGGGAAGGATACCACTAGACTCTGATGTTGGTGGTCGTATGTCGGCCATCTGGGAAGCGCGAATATTACCACCATCACCGAGATGGGGCTAAAATTCCCTCGGTGGAGGCACACCGCCGATGTTGGTGTTGGTGTCAACTTCTAGGCCTCCGGCGAAACCAGCCTCGTACTGGCTGTGGTCGATGTGACGTCCCAGGATGAACCAGAGTGCTCCTGTCGAGGTCGGTGGGTCCTTCACTACCTACCAGACCATCCCAACCCAACCCGAAGACCCGAATTTCGGGTTTGGGAGGACGGTCTTCATATGTGTTGTTCAATGTTCCCCAACCCCCCCACACTGGAAATGGAGGGCACATCGGGACCTTCGGGCTGGGTCGGGGTGGTTTGGTGGGCGGTGATTCACTGACGGGCCCTTCAGACAAGTCCACTCGGTTCTGGTTGTGGCTCTTGGCTGTGCCCCGCGGAGCGGCACCCCCTCCCCAGAGCCCCGATGTCGTGACTTCTTCGCAACGTCGACCCCCAGAAGTCTGGGCCCCTTCCCCGGCACCGATTCTTCGTTTTGAATCGCTGTCTGATGGTCCCGAGGCCCGGTGGGGGCCCCCGGAGGCCGAAAATTGCGAAAAACCTCGCGTCGTGATTGTTGTCACAGCGCGAGGAGGTCTGGGTCCCCTCAACCACCGTGCTCTGCGAGCCCTTCTCCCGCCCCTCCCGGCTGCGAGAGAGGCGCGCGCCCCTCCCTACGGAGCGGCGGCCCGCCGGAAGTCGCCGCCGCAGCCGGCGGCCTGCTGGCCTGCGGAGGACGCGGCGCACGGGCGATCGCAGGTGGGCGCGGGGCGCGCCCGACCAGTGCGGCGGCCAGCACAGCCGACCCGTATCAGAAGGACCCACGAGAAAGGGCGCCAACGACCTCGGCCATAAGAGCATCCGTCTAGAACACGGGGCCCTCCGCCGGCTAGAACGCACGGAACATCCAGGGGTGTGCCCTCCCAAATGGGTGCACCAGAGCACCCAGCGAGCACGAAGAGCATCAAGGTGCCCTGTCTGCCCACGGGCAGGAGCGGCGACGAGGCTATCCTACGACGGCGACGGCACCAACTACCAAGGAGACAGCATGAAGCCAGCATCGGCCTCGTTACAGTCGACCCGTATCATAAGGCCGCAAGCTCTTCGAGCGGGGCGCGGCCCACGGAAGTGGCCAGGGATGGACCGAGGAGGCAAGGATGCGTCCTTACTATGCGGGCTGACATTAGTCTCCTCCTCGGCTGCTGCTTGCAATTCTTGCCGTGCGTAGCGGATTCCACCCCGCAGTGGCCTCGCGGCGACTCCAGGGTGGCATCCTCTGAACCCCATGTGACTTCTCTCGGCCTCCGGCGGAGGGCGTGGAGGGCACAGGCGCCCTGTCGCCAGCATCCACAGCAAGCGCGGACGATGCGGGCCTCTCAACACGAAGAGTACCGCTGGTTTTCGGGCCCTTTCGGGGCTCTCCCTGGGCCCCAGGAGCGTGACACAGACGACTCGGGGTAAAACGCTGGTCCTTAGGGAAAGCTCCAACGTCTAGGGCCCGTATGCCTCACGACCCCTGCCTCCTCAATGGCAGAGAAGAAACGGCGACTGGACAAAATCGGGGCGGTCGGCTCCCCGGACACTCCACAAAGCGACTCGGAAGGAGCAGCTTTTTTGTCGCTCAGACATCGCGCCCGTCTGCTCCGCAAGGCGCCGCACCCAACGAGACTCTTGGGCGCCTGGGCCACCTCCATTTCCAAAAGAGGGTGCCTGAGGAAGCCAAACACCTCGCACGCCCTCTTGGAGAAGGGTGATGAAGAGGAGGAACAACAGCGGCAGCAGGAAAAGAAGAACGGCGGGGAAGGCCGAGGAGGCCTCCTCGGCCTTCCCCGACTCGGAATGAAAAGCTGGGTCTGGGGAGGGGCCAGAAAGGTCCAAACGGGGCCACGTCTCGAGCAAATAGAGCCGCTGGTTGTTTGGTGTAGGTACTGTCGCGGTTCGCAAAGGAGGTCGAGCGCGGGCGGAAGCGAACGCAGCCGAGAGCATAAAACGGACGCAGCCAATCGAGGGCGAACGGGGAAGGCACGGCCAAAAGGTAAACACGGCATGCTCGTCTAAGGTACGGTTGAGCACGATGTGCCAGTGGGTGCTGGCAATGACTACTACGGACACTCGAAGAAGGAAGCCAGCCAAGCCGAGTATGCGAAGTATTGAAAGCTGGCTCAGCAGACCTACTACGAGTGGGCCGCTCAATCAACACTAAAAAAAGAGCGGCACTGGTCGTGCAACTTGTACACGCCAACTGCGCAACATCTTTGTGGTCACTACTAGACGTCGCGCACATTTCTCACCCGCTCTTTGCCGTGCAAGCCTATTACCTCATGAGAGACCTATATACACGAGGAGGAAAGGACGAGGAGGAGGACAAGGAATAGGAGTGAGCGAAAGCAGAGGCAGATCAATGCGAGCGGCGGCAACTGAACTCACAACAAGTAAGATATGTGCCACGCGGGGCTGTGGGCAACTGCTCACTTAGCCAAGTTGCATGCTCGCATCGGTGCCGCGTGGCCAGAGCAAGGCACTGCGGCCAGAATCTGCGAATTGTGGACGCCTGTGCTGCCGACGGTCCAGTGGCTGGGAGCGCCGCGAGGCGGCGGCCTGGGCACTGGCCGCGATGCGTGGCCGGGCAGCGCTTCGCGCTGCGGCAGGCTATTGCGCCAGCATGCCGTGCCTCCGTCAACCAATCGTCCTCGGTCCCTGGCTGAGTGCTCGCAGCGGCCTTCTCGTTGAGCCAGCCGCGCACGTTGCGGTGGGGCTGCGTGGAGGGCATCCCTCGCTCCCGCGACACGAGGGCTCCGAAAGAGACGCAGCTGAGGCTGCGCGTCCAACGCCTGCGCAGGCAGGAGGAGCACAGGGAGTTGGAAGGAGGACGAGAGGGGGAATGAGGAGCGAGAGGATGCGGGGAAGAGAGCGGAAAGGGCCTCGGGTCCCCCAAGCAGCGCAGCGGAAGCAACAAAGCAATTGTCGTGCACTGCCCGAAGCCCTGCCATCTCCTATCGTCGCCGACCACATGTTTCCATTGCGCGTCGGCCCCCGTCCCCTCCTCCCTCCCCTCCGCTTTCTCCTTCTCGTCCCCCTGCTCCTCTTCCGTGCCGATTCCCCGCGCTTTGCATCCCGTTCCATGCCTGCTGTATCTCTGCACGAAAACAAATCAGCAAGGCCCATCTTAGAAAGCGCCTTCCATGCCGCCACCCATGCCGCATCCCATGCCCATGGCGCCACCCTTGCCGCCACCCATCCCGTAGCCCATGCCGCCACCCATGCCGCATCCCATGCCCATGGCGCCACCCTTGCCGCCGCCCATACCGTAGCCCATGACGCCTCCCATGCCGTAGCCCATGACGCCACCAGTGCCGCAGCCTTTGCCGCACATTGCTGGCCCAAAGCCACCTTTGCCACCAGGCTTCGGCGCGGCGCACTTGTTGCAAACCTGCGGGTCGCGATGTGTTTCTTCTAATCCTAAGATGGGTTTCTCGCTATTCCTTGGACGCCTCCAACTCTCCAGGAAGAAAGAAAGAAACATCCCTCCTCATCCTTCTCCTCACTCGCACTCACCCATGCTCAGACTCAATCATGCTGATATTCACTCACGCTCAGAGCCACTCACACTCGGTGTCACTCACACTGAGGCTCACTCACACTAAGACTTACTCCTAATCAGACTCAATCTTCCTCACCCAGACTCAGTCACATCACTTCCTCAGGGTGTGGCGAATCGGCGCAGACGGCACTGCCAGCACTCCGTTGGCTTCAGCACCTCGAGGGGGGCGTCAAGTGGTATGACACGGGCCCGTTCAAGCCCAGATTGTGGGGATGTCTCGGGCGGTGTGCCTGCTGGCATGCCCAGCATCATCTGATTACGAAGCAGGTTACCTGGATGTCTCAGGCGAGGCGCTGGCTTCAACACTTCCAAATGGAGGGGGCGCCAGGAGATATTTCACGGGCCCGTTCGCGCCCATAGTGTGGCAGTGTCTCAGGCGGTGTGCCTGCTTGCATGCCCAGCATCCTCAGCTCCTGGACCAGATTGCAAGGGCGTCTCGGAGACTTCACGGGCCCCTTCGCGCCCAGATTGTGGGGATGCTTCGGGCTCGGGCGGTTTGCCTGCTTCCATGCCCAGCATCCTCTGCTTTCGGAGCAGATTGTTTGGATGTCTCAGGCGACGCGCTGGCTCCAGCACACCCAGGGAGACGCCGCCGGGGGCCGCTTCGGGGGCACGTTTGCGCCCAGAGCGTGGGGTCTCGGGCGATTTGCCCGTCTCGGCGCCCGACGCCTGTGCTGGCAGGGCAGATTGCTTGGATGTTTCAGGCGAGGCGCTGATCACTGATACGCAGGCTCAG